CCCAGCAGCATCTGCTGTCACTGCTGTCCCCCCACTGGTCAACTCACCTGGCTCTCTTTTCTATATTCAAAGACTATCTGTGGAAAGTAATACATCTGTACTTGAATCAGAGTCTGAATATGGTGTCGCTGCAATACAATGTATGGAACCCCTGAGCAAAGCCCGTCTTTAGCTATTGAGCATCTACAAGCATATTATGTGGAAATTCCAGGAATCCCAGTAACAATTCTCCCATTTTGGTTGGTTTGCTCGGATTATTTGTCTCTCTGGCTTTGCCTGCAGTAGTAGTAGTAGTAGTAGTAGTTTGTGTGTGAGAAGTTCATGTGCACTTGTGTTCCTGTGCATGTGAGTGTCAGAGGTTGAAGTTGGATATCTTTCTCAATTGCTCTCTGCCTTAATGTTTTGGGACAGAATCTCTCACTAAATCTTGGAGGGTGAAGACGAACCTGGCTGGCCAGAAAGTTCCAGGGGTCTGCCTGTCTCTACCTCCCCAGTACTGGGATTATAAACACACACTGTTGTACTCAGGTTTTTTCAAATAGGTCCTATGGAATTAAACAAGCATCTTTGTGCTTCTGTGGAAAACAATTTACTGAAAGAGCCTTCTTCCCAGTAGAGGGTATCAATATGCAGCTCTAACTTGCTTAGTAATTACTATGTAGCTCAGGCTGTCCTCTTTTTTATCATTTTTTATTTGAATTAGAAACAAGATTGATTTACATGACAATCCCAGTTCCCTGCTCCCTCCCTTCCTCCTCTCCCGCCCCCCCAACGAAAACCCTACCTATCACATATCCTTTCTTCTAATCTACACCTGACTCAACCTTTCTGCTCCCTCATGACCTCTGCATTCTTCCTCTTCTTCCCTTCTCATTCTCGTAGCTCCCTACCCCCCTTCCCATGTTCTCAATTTGCTCAGGGGATCCTGACCCTTTCCCCTTCTCCAGGGGACAATGTTTGTCTCTTTTAGGGTCCTCCTTGTTCACTAGCTTCTCTGGCAGTGTGGATTGTAGGCTGGTAATCCTTTACTCTATGTCAGGCTGTCCTCTTGTAACAATCTTCCTGCCCTAGTCTCACAAGTGATTACAAGTATCTATCACTATGGTTGGCTACAGTAACAAGTTTTACTGGAAAGTGACTTGTTTGAAACAGAATCTACTGGATAAAGAGACTTCAAACAACTTCTAATAGAGGACCATTTGAGCAAGCTGCTGGATTTTCTTTATCTACTGATTCAGTTGACTTAAACTCCAACTTAGACACCTCTTTAACCCTAGCCAGACAGTTGTGTAGACTGTCTTTCTTCCTTTACACCTTTCTCTCAGCCTAATATTTACTTCATTATGTGGTATTATTGTTATTAACAGCCTCCTGGGGCTTTAGAGATGGCTCAGTAGTTAAGAGCACTAGCTAGTCTTCCAGAGAACCAGGGTTCAATTCCTAGCACCCACCTGGCGGCTCACAACTATTTGTGATTTCAGTACCATGGTTCCAACACCCACTTCTGGCCCGTGTATGTGCATGTGTGCAAGCAAAACAGCCACACACACTAAAATAAATAAATAAAATCTTTTTTTCAAAAGAGCATACTCCTTTTGTAAAGATAGACTCATGACAAGCAGTCATTCATGGAAAGTTATATAACCAGCCTTCCAAAACAAGAAAGTATCTGACATCTTCAAGGCCAGTAGCAGACTACTTTTTCTTTCTCAATTCTACATTGTAACCTTGCAACCCAACCAAATAAAGAACACCATGATTCAACACATTAATTTATCCATTGAATCAGAAAATCATAGCAGAGCCATGCCAGATGTGGCCTTAGAGGCTTCTCTGTCTAGCAGTTATCAAAGCTGGTTGGTCATATCAAAAAGTTCATCAGTGAAAAAAAAGTTTATCAGTGGGCTTAAAAAATACATCAGTGCCTGGTTGCAAGCCCTTACCAACTGAATGCCAACAAGCATCAATTGGTGAGAATGGGAGTTTGGGCATAGCTCTTTTTAAAATTTCAGAAGGTGATTTTAATGAGCTCCCAGGATTAAGGACTTATTTCAACTTCTAATGTGGTAAATGAAAAGCGAAGGTTATTGGTACTTTAGAATCCTAATGGTATATTGCAACTGGAAAAGCCCAAGTTCATGCTGTTTGACATTTCAAAGCTAGCCTTCTGCCTTGAGTTTTTCAGAGAGAGGATTCCGCAAAATCCCAAGCTCAAATTTGAAACACATCCCCTCGTTGATTAGATTAAATCACAGTAAAAGCCAGAGGTTTCCTGCTTCAAATTAAGATAAAAAAAAACCTCACCCTCAGGTATATCGAAAGACCATGTGTGATTTGGTGTGAAACTGGGCAATTCATATACTTATATTTTTCTATTTATTATGTATATGTATATATACTTATATACTTATTATATATAAGCAAGAATTTATTCATCATAGTTCTAGAGGCTGGAAAGTTCAAGATCAAGGGACAGTAGATTCAGTTGTTGAGTGAGAATTGCTGTCCAAGATGGAGTTTTCACGTCTTTTGAAGTGGAGAATCATTGTGCTGCCCCATGGTGGAATGCAGAAGGGCAAGGAGGCCAATGCTGTATGAAGTTTTGTTTATAAGAGCTTTACTCATATTGTTTTAATCACCTTTTCAAAACCTCATCTCTTTTTACTGACACATGTTCAGTGAACACAATGCTAAGTTTCACAAAGACAAGTTCTTTCGAGAATTTCCTGTACTTTAAGCACACTCATGCCTCTATTCCTTCCTTCTCTCCCTTCCTCCCATGAATCTCCTCCCTTCCCCCTGTCTTTTTCTACATTCATGTCATATATGTCTCTATATATTTATACACTGATAAAAATTCTAGGATCCATAAATGAGAGAAAACACAAGATATTTGCCTGAGTCTCAAGCTATTCCAAATGTCATCATATTGGTCGTTATATTTTAACACCTGAAGTTTAGAGGTAACATGTTTACTCCCTAGCAAATCCCCTGTGAATTATTTACTTGATGGAGGGAGATATTCACTTGGAAAATCCATTGCAGTCAACAATCTAAATTCTTCCTTGCTTTAGTCTTTCTTTGCAGTTAGTCTTGAAGCTCAAAGCGTCTGCTGCTCTTGGGAGTGTCTCCAAATACAACAAGGAAAGCACATTGGGAAAGCCTTACTTAGAGGGGACAGAAGGATGGTCTAGTTTCCCTTTACCCCCTGCTTAATGTTTTCCTGCTGAGAAGAAACAGTTCATCTCTACAACTGATGCAAGATTTGTTCTGGTTGCCAAATTCCAATATCTAAGAACAATGGGGAGGAGGTGACCTCTTAAATCTTGAAAGACAGAAACTTCAAAGGGAATTTCTATTTTATAAAGCATAAAGTAACCTGTTACTCCAAAAGATAGTACAGGTGAATAAAAAGAAAGAATTTTTAAAGTTTCAATGTCACCAGAATGTTACAAGTGTAGGAAAAACAACTAGACATCAAAGATTACCTCCAAACATTACCCTGCATATCTGTATCTCTAGATATCACACACCAAACAAGTGACTCAGGGAGTCATTTCTTCTATTACATATAGTGTTTTGGGATGACTGGCCCATGTTAACTATTTGGGTCTTAGGTCTTTTCCCCACAAACCGAGTAAATGCATTGAGTTGACATATCAAGTAAGGCGGTAAGTTGCTGGGAGAAATCACTGTCAAAGACATCAATCAAACAAGCTTGTAAAAGGACACAGACAAAAAAAAAATCTTGGGGGAAAACCTCCTCAATATTTTTACCCAAAGACTGACTCTTCAATGGTAGCATTGTTTTAAAAACCAAGGAGCCTGCGGATTAAAGAACTTTTAGATGTCTTGCCTCATATATTGCTATGTTGGAGTTCTCATAGGTCGCTGGAGTTAGACTGCCGGAAGAAAAGGACAGCCTTGGGGACCTCCCACTTTGAACTTCTGAGATGATCTGGAAGCTTACGCTGGCACGACTTCCTCTCTGAAAGGATTAGGAGAAAAAAATGTTCTGAACAACATTGTCATTATTTAAATCTAATTCACCATAATCATTCAGAACTCTTTTTAGGTTGCACTTGGAAGCATACTTACATTCTATATACCACCAAGGAAAGATTACATTCCCAAGTATTTTTTCTCCCAGATAACTTGCTTACTTTTTAAATTAAAATATAATTAATCATTTTCCTCTTCCCTTCCCTCCCTTCAGCCCTTCCCATGCATCCTCAAACCAATGGCTCCCGTTACTTTTTAGTTGTTACATATATACTTATGGAAATATATTCCTAAATCTATAGATACAACCTACTCAGTCACTATGTTACTTTGTTTGTTTGTTTGTTTGTTTGAGGTTGGGTCTCATTGTGTCATCCAAGCTGGTTTAGAATTCATAATCCTCCTGTCAAGTACTGAGATCACAGGTATGGGTTTCCAGAGAGAATATGATCTCTATACATGTGAGACAAGAAATAATACCTGTCAGTAATTTAACCTGGAATCCTCTTTTTATGGACATGAAATTTAGACCCAAATGGGGAAATTATTTTCCAAATATATTCTAGCCAATCATTTAGTTAAGGAAAAAGTGACTGTAGAGAAATCAAAACTTCTGAAAATAGAACTAGGAGGTGATTTCAGTCCTTCACTTCCAGTACTGACTCCATCTTTTTCCACTCTGCCAAATGGCATTGTTCTTTCTGAAGATGAGATTAATGATGGAGGGCCTCCCACAGAGCAATTAAGTTGATAGAGAGTAAGGGGGTTATCTGCCCATGGTGTGTGAGACTGAAGTAGGCCAGATTCTTTATTCCTTAATTTTACTAAGACACAATCTGAAAGGGGGAGCTGCAAGCCTCGAAGTTGAAGGACAAAATCAAGAGAGTTCCCTGCAATCTGTGTTACTCTTAAAGATAAACATCTTTCTCTTCAAATAAGCCAGTAGATATATTTTATGTGAAGGTGGACTAATCACCAGCTACCTCAATATTCTTCTCTACAGTTCTTAGAATGCCTTTTAAAAGAATTACAATGAATAGAAATGAATAGATACCCTTGTTATTAGCTAGACAAGGCCTTTCGTCCAACACCAATACCAGCATTCATTTTTTATTATTAATTTTTTATTACTAGTAGTCATAGTAGGGTTCCCATTGTTTTGAAACCGTCTCACTATGTATAACAGGCTGATCCTAATAACATAATCCTCCTGCCTCTGCCTTCACAGGACCAAGATTATAGGCACATACTACCAATGTCCAGCTTCTATTCTCTCCATTTTGCAAGGAGGAAAAAGAAAGCTCAAGAATGCAGGGGTTGAACACGGATTTTGATGCTATAGCTCCCTGTCCTGTACTCTTTCTTCCTGCATCACGCTTTCTAGCAGTCTTGCTTGCTAATAAGAATTAATCTTAAGTGCTTTCCAATACTGAGTTTACAATGGTCTTTGATCAACTGAAGAGAACTGGATGCCTTAGTGTTGAGTTCAATTCTTTCCATCCAGAACTGTCACAATGCCCGAAGACAATGTCCTGAAACTGTAGCACCTCAAGACTTAGGCAACATGTAAAACCTGATTCTTCACATAACCCCTCCATCAACCTGCACTCCCTCCAAAAGAGCAAGGCCAGGGAGCCATCTAATTCCCTTCTAGTCTTTATTTTCACATCTCAGCAAGAACACATAGATGTATATTAAGAAACAGACCTCTCTGTGAAGGGCAAGGGAGAAAGTGATAAAATCTGTCAAAATCCACATACGCTTGGATTTCAGCTTCACTTTCTTCTAAAATCTTCCTTTTCTGACCTGACTTCCCCTGACCTGCCAATTTTTCTAGACTGAATTAATTCTGTATTCTCAAAGAGTTTACACTTTCAGACATTCCTTTTGGATGGAATTCTTGGCTTGGCTTCTTGACTGATTAAACACAGCCAGCTGCAAGTTTGTGACTGCAGAGCAATTAAGCAAAATGTATGCTTCCCCCATCCGTTCCACTCAGAATCCTTGATAGAAGCCAAATGCCAAAAAGGGACTTAGAGGCAAAGAGCTATGTTCTTCTGGGGTAATGCCACTCTTTTCCACTTAGACCAAAACACTTAAAAAAGCAAACAAGCATTAACATTCCCTAAAGGGCTATCGATATTTGCTGCCTTTTTCTCACTCCTATAGTGAAAATTATAGTGATGGTTTTATTCTCTTCAGCTCAAAATGTATGCATAAATGAAATGATCTATCAACGTAGGCACTGTCTTAAACCCTGGGCACTCTGTCTGTCAGAAGCACTGCTATGCTTTTTGTGACATTTTGCAAGTATCAGAACACTTCAGTAACACAAGTGCAGTTTATATATTACTATATATGAGAAGATGCATGAATAGATGTTTTATATACTTTACTGGGCTATTATAATATCTATGCATTGAAAAGGCCATTTTAGCCGGGCGTTGGTGGCGCACGCCTTTAATCCCAGCACTCAGGAGGCAGAGGCAGGCGGATCTCTGTGAGTTCGAGGACAGCCTGGTCTCCAGAGCGAGTGCCAGGATAGGCTCCAAAGCTACACAGAGAAACCCTGTCTCAAAAAATCAAAAAAAGGAGAAAAGGTAATTTTAGTCCAAAAATTAAGTGTAGTTATTGTTTTTGCTACTTTAGAGCACAACATTCAGACAGCTGTCAAGACCTGTCAGGTTGACATGGGTAACACCAGATGAATAGGGGTTTTGGAAATAAGTTGTGTCTTTTGACCAAAACTTTAGTACACTTACCTCCATTTTTCACAATGACTTTTATGAGTGATCACATTTCTAGATCAAGTACTTTTTTTTTTTAACCACAGGCTGAATCATTTTATTTTGGTAACATGTTATAGATTGGGATTGCTTCAGAGCTTTCAATTCAGTGTCTGCACTATCTCCTGCTTCAATTGGGGAATTTCATACCAAGAATACTGAGTTTGGAAAACCCAGACAGATCCACCACCATCACTGCTAGTGTCCTCTGGTGGTTTCAAAAATGGAAACCAGTTATCAGTGAGTTAGTGAGTTTTTGTGGCATGGCGGTAGAGTACAGATTTCAGTTATCAGTTTTCAGTGAGTTTTTGTGGCATGGCGGTAGAGTACAGATTTCAGTTATCAGTTTTCAGTGAGTTTTTGTGGCATGGCGGTAGAGTACAGATTTCAGTTATCAGTTTTCAGTGAGTTTTTGTGGCATGGCGGTAGAGTACAGATTTCAGTTATCAGTTTTCAGTGAGTTTTTGTGGCATGGCGGTAGAGTACAGATTTCAGTTATCAGTTTTCAGTGAGTTTTTGTGGCATGGCGGTAGAGCCACAGTGAGAGTTTTGTGGTTCATCAGCACATTTCTAGGAGGGTGATGTTCACCTTACAAAATCATCTGAGTATGTAAACCAGAGGCTTATAAATGGGAGATGAACCAAATAGCTCATCAGTTCATTTGATCAACCATACAGGACATTACCACAGAAATCCATTCTTCACGTAGCCAGATAATTACATACAATTTTCAGTGTCATTTAAAAGCAACTGACCAGTTTGTCACTGAGATCATCTTCTTTTTTGTATTAGACAAAAAAGAAGGGAATTTTGGTGATATATTGTTTATGACTTAATAAAGCCACCGGAGATCAAAATGCAAATCTAGCCACAACCATAGAGCCAGGCAGTGGTGATACACACCTTTAATCCTAGAAGCCCTGCTAGTTAGCCATAGAGGCCAGGCAGTGGTGGCACACACGTTTAATCCCAGGACTCAGGAGACAGGCAGATGGATCTCTGTGAGTTCAAGGCCACCCAGAGCTACACAAGAGTAAATCAGTCTAAAAGAATAACAGAGATCACAGGCTGGAGAAATGGCTCAGCGGTTCCAGAGGTTCTGAGTTCAATTCCCAGGAACCACATGGTGGCTCACAAACATCTGTAATGAGATCTAGTGCCCTCTTCTGGCCTGCAGGGATACATGCAGATGGAACACTGTATACATAATAAATAAACAAACCTCTTTTAAAAAAAGAATAACATAGACCACACCTTTAATAATCCCAGTACTAGGGAGGTATAACAGGAAGAACCAAAGGGTCTCATGTGAGATTTAGTTCCCAAACAGGGAGAGCATTGCACTCTGGGGATTCGTGGAGATATTATCACCCATTCCTGTCTGATGTAGAGGTAACAGCTAGTGGCTGGCTGCTTTGTTTTTCTGATCGTCAGGGACTTTATTAAATCATAAACAATATATCACCACAGATAACCAATTCTTAAATCTGGTGTAGTATCTTTTCACTACATCTTGCTACCCCCACAACACATGCAAAGCTCATTGACATTATTGCAGTCAAATAAGCTAGCATAAGGAAGCACACCAGCTCCCCTGACAACACCCCCACCCTCCTCTGTGCGTGTTCTCTTTTTCATTCTGCTGCCTATGCTATTTCCTCTGCCCAAGATAGCTATCTCTCAGGGCCAGGAAGACAATAGGAAGATAGGATGGAAACTGTAAAGCCACAGAAAGCACATCTTTTACCAAAAAAAAAATGTAATTACTTAACTACTGAATTTTGGCAGACTGCCAACAGCTTTAAAATATACTGATAATAATTATACAACTTTATGGGGTACAGTATGATGCTGTGGTAAACACAAACACTGTATATTGCTCTAATCAGGGTATTTAAGTTGTCTGTCATCTCAAACATTTATCATGTCTTTGTGATAAGAACATTCAAAACCCTATATTCTAATTACTTTTGGAGTACACGACACAGCAATGTTAGCTTGCAATCACTCCTCTGTAATAAATACCAACACTTACAACCCAACTTCTACAAAAGCTCATAAATCCAGATTTTTTTCAAATGTGTAATTTTCAAAGGTTGCTACTAATCTTTCCTGGGATAGTCAAAGAAAAGTGATTGATAAGCAGTCTTAATAGATGCCATAGACAGATTCTACCTTCCTTTCTTTTAAGAATTAGCTTTGAATGTGGACCTCTGAAAAGACTCCTTGTGCTAATCTGAGTTCTCTAAAGTACTATTGTATTTCCAGTTCATTTGTACAATTTGGCACCTATTGATTTCCTTGTATGATTTCATTGTCTTCAATTACTACATGTAATCTCAGAAAATGTATCCCAGGGACTATAGCAGGTCCACATGAAGGTTATAACACAAATACAAACAGGACTCTTGTAAGACTAAACCTTCCTTTATGAGTTGAATCATTGTTTCCTGAATTTTATTGTTACTTTTATTAGTAACACTTATAAGCACCATGTTGGGTGTTAGAGACTGATATAAAGTTTACCTAAAAGAGGTTATGTGAAGTCAAAGCTAAACTATTGCCCAGAATGGACTCTGTTCACTTTTCAGAACACGGTTCTAAACCAGCATTATCTAACTGAGATATAATATAAACTATATATGTAATTTTAATTAACGATTAATACTCAAACATCTGTCAGGGTATAAAACTGAATAATTGATATATGTGCATAGTGCATAAGAAATAAATCAGAGTAGTTAACATTTTGATATCCTTAACTATTTATATATAAATCATTTCCTTTTTTATTTTTTCTTTTCATTTATTCTTCTCTCATACAACACTAATTTCTTTTTATAAATGTATTTTAATCGTGTAAATTTCTCGGTGTGTATGTGTATGCATGTTACATGCATGCAGGTGCCTGTGGAGGACTGGAGTGTGTTGGATCCCCTGGAGCTAGAGTTACAGGTAAGCTTCTGGACATGGGCGTGTGAAAATAAATTCAGGTTCTCTGTAAGACCAATACAGCTTTTAAGTTCTGAGCCATATTTCTAGTCCCCTGTATTATTTCTTTATGTTGGTAAACTTTGGCCTCCTTTTTTTCCTTTCTTTTCTTTTCAATTATGCAATAAGTTTAAGTGACATTCATCCACTGTTCTATACAACACTGGAATTTATTCCTCCTCTCTAACTGTAATTTAGTACCAGATATATGACCTCTGTCTGTTTCCCTGTTTCCTACCCTCCCGCCCATCTGGGGACTATCAGTCCATTCTCCTACTTCTACATATGAGTGGGATCTCTCAATAGTGCCTTCCCACATCTGACTTATTTCCTTTAGTATCATGTCCTCTAGTTCAATCCATGTTGCTGCAAATGACAGACTTTATTCTTTTGTGGCTGAAGAATATTCCACGCCACACATGTAACCATATGTGTTCTAACAGTCACAGTAAAACATAAATAAAAATAGATAAAAACAATTTAATAATATGCTTTCTTTAACCCCATATATCTAAAATAATTTTTATCTATGATCAAGTTTTTACAAATTTTCATGAGATATTTTAT